CACACACACACACACACACACACACACACACACACACACACACACACACACCTACACAACCGTACACACGAGACACCAATAAAATAGTTAGATATAGGGATTACAACACACCAAGAAACTCACCTGGAACAGGTAGACAAGACACCAACTCATTATAGTGTTGTAGTACAGAGCCAAGTAAAAGGATACAATGGCGGAGCAAATGCCCAGACCGCCTAGATATGGTGACACCTGTAGAAAAAAAGAAAATACTACTAGGAATAATGCCCTTTTGGTTTTTTTCTTTTGTTGCAGACTACACACACACACAAACACACACACACACAGACACACACAGACACACACACATACACACACACACACATACACACACACATACACACACACACACACAGACACACACATACACACACAGACACACAAACACACAGACACACACAGACACACACACATACACACACAGACACACAAACACACAGGCACACACAGACACACACACATACACACACACACACACAGACACACACATACACACACAGACACACAAACACACACACACACACACACACACACACACACACACATACATAAACACAAAACCCCGCCCCCCCAAAAAAAACCCCGCAAAAAAACAAAACAAAAAACTCGCTGTCCTTCAGATTACAATACACCAAAGAACTGTTCATCTCTAAAGATAACACTGGATAGTTAATTCTCTTCGAAACCATTCAACGACCCATTGGCATACAGGGCTCGTCATGCAATTGCACTATTCTACACAAAAGTTCATGTAGGTCTAACTAAGAATGCAGTAAACGTGGTGTTGTTAAAGATAGCCTTGCCATATTAATAATAATAATAATAATAATAATACTTGACATTTATATAGCACTCAACCCCGATTAAAGTACATAGGCTCTGAGCGCTTTACAATACAGTACAATGTACAACAGTAACATACAACGTTGTGTTCTGACTAAAAGAAACTCACTCCAAATATTCATTTTATTAATTTAAAAACAGAACGACTTCAGCTGACATTTGAATGAATCAAAAGATTTGATTTCTCTTAAATTTAAAGTACTTGGCAAAGCAATCCAGATCTTGGGGGCTTGGTATTCAAATGCACTTTCACCCATTGTTTTAAGTTTCATAGATGGTAAAATAAATTTCATTTTGTCAGCTGATGACCTTAATATGTGAGTTGGAATGTACAGTCTTAACAGATTTGATAAATATGATGGAGCATTCTTAATCAAGCATTTGTGACATATGGTGGCCAACTTGTACACAATTCTTTTCTCAACAGGAAGCCAATATTCTAGGTGAACTGACATAGATGGCGCTACCGGCTCTGACTGAACACGTTTCATTTCGATATACGAGATTCTTTAAGAGTAATCTTTGCTCCTCCTACTCTTTGCATACAAGTTCAGTCCCTCCCTAAAATTTTATTCTGCACAATGCTGAATAAGATTAATTATGTCTTCATTGGTGGTTTAAACGACATTAATTTGCATCCTTGTTGTAGGAGTTAATTGTTTTGTTGTGTCCTATCTTTGGTAAAATATTATCGGAACCAATGACTCCTAAACATTCATGTAAACAAGCAAAAAAAACCCCCAAGCATCTGCAGTAGCCATAGCGCAGCGTGCTATTTTTTGAGCCACGGTTAAAGTGCTTTGCTTAAGGACACACTTTAGCCATTATCCCATTTCAAAATCATTGTCACTTGAAACTGTTCGGGCACTTCCCCGTGACTGAGTCCTCTCAACACAGTTGTCTTGAACAATAATAGAATATTGAATTGGTGTCAAGTTCACAGAATACTATTGTGTGATGTTTTTTCGATCTTCATCATTGCAAGCTGAACACACGAATTTGATTTCCGACATGCGAAGTTAATTTTGTAGGTCTTTCTCGAGGGTTGCTGTATCCAACCCAGCCCACGTTCACTCTGAAGGAAGTCTACCTCCTAATCTGTCTTGTGAATTGTGTAAATGTGATCGTAAAAAGTTTACAATCAGCTAGCATCCTCCATCGTAACACTAACGCTAGTAACACAAAGATGTAAAGCTAAATATTTTCTCAGAAAGTTACAGCGTTCTTTGTATTACGTATTACCGTTTATGCTCATTTCGTTATAGAACCGGTGTTGTACCACGTCTATAGTACCATATTTGTGAGGCAGCGTGGTGGAATCAGGCTCTTGTCAAAATAATCAAAGTGAAGAAACTTGCATTTTTCCACAGGTTGGTGAATTCTTTTCAAATTTTTGTTTTTTTCTCAACACCTTTCATGCCCATAAAAGAACTCATTTCTGTATGGATTTTTCTGAAAAACGTTGATTAAAGACACAGAAAATGTAAATTTTCAGTCACCATGGACTCTGAAGCGAAGGAAATAACTAATCTTTGGCGGCCATTTTCTCACTAATTTTACCTCTGAAAACGTGTGACCCCCACCTCCTCCTTTTACAAATATCTCGACTTGTATTCAAGATAAAAGGATACTTTTTTCATCCACATAAAGCCAAGTAAACATGCTTTAAGATGATACCAATAACTCTACAAGCCCAAAAATTGACGAGAGCCTGATTTCACCACGCTGCCTCACATTTTATACCACCTAAGTTTGTCAAAGTAATTGACGAATTTTATAACATTGAAGATCAATAGTTCATTCGTCACCTTGTGTTATTCATCTTACAAGATACATAACGAACTGGACATAACTTTATTTGTGAGGCATTATTACCAGTATATGGCACACACAGTCTGTTCAAAGTGAAGCTCAACATAAAAAAACAACTAAACGAACAATCGTTTCTGACAAACTGTGTCACTAACTCCTAGTACGCGACGTACCTGTTCAGCTGCTTCATTGTATAGTGCGGTTGTTTATAGCCGTAAGAAAAAAATCTATCAAACCCCAAGCAAGCAACCCTAGTTGTTCACAGTTAATGTTTGCTTGGATCATTCATTTCTACTCAAATTGGTGTTTAAAAATGTGGACAGATTAAACAGGAGTGGTTTTATAATTACGTTTGTGGTGCTAAAAACTGAGAGGACAAAATCTGTTGCGTACAAAGGAGAATCAGTCCTCCGCATGCTACGAGTCAAGGCTCTTTTTTTTACAGGTGAGCATTGCCCGCTTTTGTGAACGTGCTTATGATCAACTTCTGCAAGTTTATTTGATAGTTCTTTTATCGAGCAATCTTCTGCTGCCGTCGAAACATTTATTTCTCTTTTTTTGTTATGTCTCGATGTTGGGAACATTCGTTCATCTCCCAATACCTCTCTGATCTTTTTCTTCTTCAAAAAACACAGAATTTTCCAACTCTCCCTTTCCGTCCATCCCTGTGCGATATTTTCTTTATCTTGAAACTAATTCTTTTTTCTACTTCTGTTGTGTATCCATAATTGGTCTCATCAATTAAATACAGGGCACGTCGAACTGATAGAAATAACATTCAAAGCCTTGCACAAAAACGGGAACAGGCTTGGAGGAAGGTAATGAGTTTTATCCCGCAAAGTAATGATAATAATAGATAGCATTTGTATAGCGCATATCCCCGTTCAACAGCAGGCTCTATGCGCTTTACACTATATTATTACCCCAGCAGAACATAGAACACTCCGAAACATTCTCAGCTCCTCTGGAAGCATACAGTGCAAGCAGCTGATTAAGCGCTCAAACACTAACAAACTGACAAGATCTTTCGCTGTCTATAGCCGGGTACCAATTCCCACCTTTGTGAAGTGAGGAAAATCCGTGTAAAGTGCCTTTCCCAAGGACACAACGTCGGGCCCTTGACGGGATTCGAACCCACGACCTTACGGTTGCGAGTCCGAGAACCTAAACACTAGGCCACCGACGTCATCCGGGATCTATCGATAGCACGTGACCCCTCTCCCCCCCTACCCCTTTCCATCTTTCCACTTTTTTCCTCTGTGAAATGGCCTCTTTGGTTGGTGCTATTAACTTGATGACTTTCTTCAGACTGAAAACAATATCGTCATCATCCGGTGCCTTTCCGACTGGCGTGGGCGATCATGGACCTCCACTTCACTCTGTCTTGCGTTAGAGCAATGGCGTCTGTTGTTCTTGCTTCTCACAGCCATGTTGTCATCTTGTCCAGTATCTTTTCCCTCTGTCTACCTCTGCCTCTCTTTCCATCAAACTTGCCTGTTGTTACAATATTCTCCAAAGCTTCTTTCCGCATTATGTATCCGAAAAATGTGTCTGTCGCTTTCGTATAGTGTAACAAAGTGAAGCCAGAGGGCTCATGGCTCGTAAATATCAGGTGAAACTAGTACCCTGGACGCCGCTACTGGCGGGAGGAGCGTAATTGCAACTCGTATTGTTGGACACACCACTGTCCAGGTTGGCATCTCGCTGCCACGCGCGCGAGAAGTGTAATTACCAACTGGACGCCACCACCCAGGGCGGCATCCCGTAGAACAGGGAACCTTAGAGTGGGGCGTATCTATAACACCTTCCTGCCTCAAAATCCCTAATTTGTAAGACCACGTAGAACGATATGGAGGAGCGTCCCTTACGCATTAATTGTAGACGCCAGAGAGTGCACAAAGATTTGGAGCGTTCAAAGCCCAAACGTTCTTGGGAATTGGGGAAAGAAGATACAATCATCCAGAAGGTACCTATTGAAGTCTGAATAATCAAAGTGGGATCGTTACGACGCTGGGGCCTTATATACCGGGGGTCCAAAGGTTTAGCAGACAGAGATTCGAACGCAGATCAGGGTTAGGAGAGACTAGCGTAGACTAGAGTACTGAGAGGACATAGAGGTAGGAGCTAGACCAGGTTAGGCGAAGGCTAGTGATAATATTCTTGTACGCTGCTAGATAGTCGTCTGTTCGACAAATGTTATAACCAGTGTTTCAGGAAATAGTAGTTACCCTTCTGTAGATTATAGGTCCTCGAAGCTAGTAGCATGTTTTGTAAACGTTATACATTTCATTGTTGTTGATGATTAAATATATTCAAAAATATTACAGCGTGAAGTTTTCTTGTCATCTTTGACATAACCTATACGATCACGTGTCAGAGCGGTGTAACCAGTATAAGCATAACAACTACATCTTTTTAATACTGTTACTGTGTTACATATTCGTCATAAGCTGTCTTCTGCAATTTGCTTCAACCAAAACTTCCGAGAAAAATAACGTCGACATTTGTTCAGGAAACGGATTAGGATAATAATAACTTTAGAATGAAGTAGACGAAGCATCCACAACAGAACTGATGACACTGAGCAAGCAATCAGGAATGATGAGATTATCGAAATAAGATTATGAGGGCGTAGCCTAATGTCATGTCACGGAACCAGCCTGGCAGAATTTGTGAGCCTGGGGGTTCAACGACCGCAAGACCACTGCATTCCCTCGTGGATCAATAAAGTTTATCTTGTTTTATCTTATCTTATCTTATCTCAAATCATCTCATCTCATCTCATTTCATCTGATTTGATCTATTTATCGTATATCGTTTACCATCTATGAAACTTAAAACAATGGGTGAAAGGGCATTTGAATATCAAGGCCCCAAGATTTGGAATGCTTTATCAAGGACTTTTAGAGAGATCAAATCTTTTGATTCATTCAAATGTCAGCTGAAGTCGTTTCTGTTTTTTAACTAATAAAATGAATATTTGGAGTGATTTTCTTTTAGTCAGAACACAACGTTTTATGTTACTGTTGTACGTTGTACTGTATTGTAAAGCGCTCAGAGCCTGTGTACTTTAATTGGGGTTGAGGGCTATGTAAATGTCATTTATCATTATTATTATGATCTTATCTTATCTCATCTTATCTTATCTTATGTTATCTTATCTTATCTTATTTTATCTTAATCTCCAGATCACTCTGGCGCGTAGAGAAAAGAAATATTTACTCGTACCTCGTTCCAAGCCCCTATGGCACCTTTTCTCAACCTTTGTCCGATGGCAAGTTCCAAGAAAAACAGGGGAATTCCCTCTATAGCCAGCATCACGGCGTACGGGATGAGGAATGCACCTGTGAAATACAAGTCATATTATCAGAAAGATAGTGGAAGGTGGTGTCATTCTGGAAGCTTTGCTGTACTCCCCCCCCCCCCCTTTGACCTACCAGTGCCAGACATGGACCCTGACCAAAAGTCTGGAACGTAAGATAACCACCTGCGAGATGAGATGTCTAAGGAGAGTCGTCAACAAAACCAGACGAGACATGGTCAGAAACAACAAGATCAGAGAAATGGTGGGAATAACACCTGTCATCCACTACAGCCGAAGGCAAACAGTCAGGTGGTTTGGACATCTCACACGTATGGCACCTAACCAGTTTGTCAGTAAAGCCTTCTACAGGAAAGTATCAGGGTACAAGGCAAGTGGAAGACCAAGAAAGACCTAGATCCAGGTGTGAAAGATACCCTGCGAACATACAATATCCCACCCAGCCAGACCATAAAACTTGTTAGAGACAGGACACTCTTTCTCCCCTCGACGCCCTAGAGGTACAAGAGGACGGATAAAGTAACGTAAAGTAAGTAAGATGCTGTACTTTTACTTTAGTTATTCAGGGATGTCAAACACTGCGCTCCGTCTGAATGAAGAGTACTGGATTTCTTAGGAAATGTTCGTCGAAGTTTTCGTTAGAGAAGTCTACCGAGGTAAATCCAAACAGTCTTAAAAGAAGTAGGCGTATTTGCATGCACACTGCTCTCTCTCTCTCTCTCTCTCTCTCTCTCTCTCTCTCTCTCTCTCTCTCTCTCATCCACTCTCTCTCTTTCTCTTTCTCTGCCCCTTTCATTGCCCACGTTGTTCCTTTATTGTCCTGATTGTCATACGTTTACAGCCCATCGAGC